ATATAAAATTGAAATATGGTAAATTCACATTTTTAGCAGACAAATTTAAAACTTATCTACTAGCAAAGTTTTTACTATTTTGACACATGTGTATTCCTTACATTTTTCCTTACAGGTAGAAATGAAATTAGTCATGGTAAAGATTTCATTTTTTAGTTTGATTCTTTATCACCAGTTGTTTTACTTTTATTCCTTTGAATACAAATACACTTTATAGAGTGTTACTGATAATTTCATTATTTATACCAGTGAGGTCCAGGAGAACTTTCTGTGATGTTGGAAATGTTTTACATCTTTACTGACCAATAATATAATCATTAGTCATATATGACTGTTGAACACTTGAAATATGGCTAGTGCGACCAAAGATCTAGATTTTCATATTTATATATTTTTAATTAATTTCAAAAGCCACTTGTGTATGGTGGCTACCGTATTGGACTGTATAGGTTTAGAGTAGTACTGAAGATTTTAGTAGAAAATGGATACTAAATAAGTAACTATTGTTCAAAAATTATTTTTAATATGGATTCTCAAGAACTTTGTTACCTTATTATAGAAAATAACTTGTTTTACATAATTTTTCTTTTAAATTTGTAGTTATACATATTGGGCCAATGTACTTAGGCCTCTGAGTTTTCATAAATAAAATGGGGATAATTATGCTTATTTAAAATAAGATTTTTGGAAGATTTAAATGATGTAAAACATGAGAAGCTCTTTGTATAGGGTCTGACAAGTATTACAGCTGAATCTATGATCTAAATCTGCATCTGTGAATGTATTTTAATATTATTACTTTTACCATTATATGTAATAATTGTTTCCCTTAATTTTGCTTTTCACTTAAAATGGTTTTTTATTTTCTTTTTAGCAACTGATCTCGTGCTGAGAAAAGTTATCAATTTTTCTGACTGTACAGTTTGTCTTGATAAACGAAATGCCAGCGGTAAAATAGAATTCTACCAGGATCCATTATTGTACAAATGTTCCTTCAGAACTCGTCTGCATTTTACATATGACAATCTAAATTCCAAGATGCCATCTGTTATTAAAGTAGGTTTCTTTTTTTCTAATAGATAAGTTACATGTGTCTGTTGTGTCTCTCAGTGCTTCTGCATAATTTTTAAAAATGTAAGAAATTAATGTCACATGCCATTAGTTTTTCTAAAATATGTTGTCTTTATACGTGTAACTTTTTGTATAGTATGTTTTAGTAGAGATGTTTTCTGGACAACTTTTACTAATTTTTTAGAAGTTTGTCTAGCTGTTTCTTAGTGTTTTGATCCTCAAATAGATAGAAATCTAATTAAAAAGTAGCATGAGTTTGATCTCTAGCACTACACACACACACAAAAGTGTATTTATACTCACAGTGGCCTGAATCAGTAATCAGTATTCTTGTCTTTATAATTTGTTCAGCATGATCTGATAACTTTCTTTTCTTTCCTTAGATAACTTTACAAGGCCTGATATGCTCACCTAATACTTTAGCTTAGTGGTTCAAAAAGTTTTAGCTTTTGATCCATGGTTTCAAAATGTAATTAAAATCTTAAAGAGTATGGGAGCTTTTCAGGACATATTTTTAATTTGGGAAATTTTGTTCTCTAAGATAGTGGTATATATTTTCAATGTGTGTAACTTATATGTAAGTATTTTTTTTTTTTTTTTTTTTTTTTTTTTTTTTTTTGCATTATCAGGGATCCAACTCCAGACCTTATGCTTGCCAGGCAGGTGTTGGCACCACTGAGCTAAATTGTCATCTTTTTTAACTTCATAGTTTTTGATACATTTCTTTAACTTAATTACTTAGTTCTGACTACCAGAGTTCTATGATAGAAAGTCAGGCCCTAAATCTGGACAATGATTTTTTCCTATTTTGTTATATAAAAATTATTTTTAAAAATATTGTTTAATCAAAACAATATTTTCTCTTATGTAGACTTACTGTACTTTAAGTCCTACTTTTTTTTTGTTAATAGTCAGTTGTCTATGTTTTACTTATACTTTCCACTGTGTAAATGCATATTGTTTTGATTAAATATGTTTTCTCCTTCTGTTTTTAATCTTTGTCAAAGATAAGCCTTGGCAAGTAGTTAACAATATTATTTCTATCTCTTTTCTTTTATTTTTTTTTTTGGTACTGGGGATTGAACTTTGGTCCTTGCTCTTGTGAGGCAGGTGGCGATATCTCTTCTCAGGAAAATGAGCTTACTTTTTTTTTTTTGTACCCGGATCGAACCTTGGGTCCCTGTGCTTCCAAGGCAGGCAGTGGAACCACTGAGCTAAATCCCCGGCTATTACTTTTTTTTTATTAGCCTTGGATCTGCTACTAGACTTGGAGAATGTGAAGATAAATTAAAAAGTATTTTAAAGCAAATAATGAATGTTTAGAATCTTTACTATATAAAATAATCTTATTGTTCATTATTGCAACTGTAATTGTCCATTCTAGGACTTGGCTAAATTAAAGGAAAAAAGTAAAAATAAATAAACTTGAGAAAAACTTATTGTTGACATGTAAGTTTGTGTTCTCAAAATTGAATGGCCATGAATTTTTGAAAAGTGCCTTAATATAAATGTTTGTTGATATGTGAATTTTGACTCAGGTAATTGTCACATATCTTACTACGTTATGGTCAACTGAAATACATTTTTGAAGTTTTTATTAATACTACTATGATGTAATATTTGCTGTTTGGGTTAGACCCATCTTCCAGTTCTAGTTCTAGGAAATATGTGTTAAATGGATGTGACTAACCTCATTAATCACATTGTAGACGGGGCTTTCTAGTATGTTCAAATACCCTAAGTATTTAGCTGTGCCTTTCATATTTGCTTGTTTCAGTGGCATTTTAATTTACTATTTATATTTTGGGTAGGCTTTACAATTTTCTGTGTTTTGTGTGAGCTAATGGTATTTCTGAGAAATATCATAGAGTGCACAACTCAATCTTTTCCCTGTTTTTTGAAATCTATTTTGCATTTTTTCCCCCAGAGAAATGAAACTCTGCACCTAAATCTTTGGCCAAAACTCTGATTAATTTATTTGGAAAGATTTCTATACAGTATTTGCAAATATCTTATGAATGCATAAAAATTTTGAGGACTTGCAATCTCTATTGCAGAACTGTTTCTAGAAATGTTTAACCAGGTTATAGACCCATGAACATTAAGCAAAATGGCTGTGTTATATACTTGTTAGCCTTAAATATGATCATATTTTGAATAATTTCCAACTTGAGCAAAGGATAACATACAGTGCAACTGAAATTTATTAGGGTGTTGGATTTTTGTAGATATGCTGACTATTTGATTTTTTTAAATTATCCACTCAGTTTCTGTTTTTCTTTTGAAGGTTGATTAAGTTTTTTCTAGTTGATTTTAAAACAATTTTTGTTGTAAAGGATAGATTCTTTGTTAATCACTAGTGCTTTACATTATTTAAAAGGATGTGACAAAGATCTCTAGAGAAGCTTAACATTTATATATACTCCTTCTCTGTCTCTGTCTTCCATTTTCTTCTTAATGGTTTGTTCAGTGTGTGATTTTTAGATCAGTTTTAAGAAACCTGCATTGGTATTTGAAATACAGTATTTTACCCTCTACCTTCAATTCACATCTTTCTGAAGTTCTTGTTAATAGAACTATTTTTGTGCGTTAAACCCTAAAAATATGACAAGTGTTGCTTCTTTTTCATGTTTCATAGACATTCAAATACTAGCTAGTCAAAATAAATCTTCTAAGAGACTTGATTTTATGGCTTAATTGGGTTTGTTCCATGTTTATATAACAGCAGGAAACCATTACACTGAAGCTGTGTTTATCTTTCATTGATGTCTCTCTCTCTCTCTTTTTTTTTTTTTTTTATGATATTTTTATTTTTCACTGAAGCTGTGTTTATCTTTCATTGATGTCTCTCTCTCTCTCTTTTTTTTTTTTTTTTAGGAGAACTTTGAATGCTGTATATTCTCTTGGGTAGTACCTAATCTTGTTTCTTTTTTTTGTTGTAATCTTATTTCTTATAATTGATTCATCTTACAAATTTTCTCATTTAAATTTTGAAATTTGGAAAACTTTTGAATATTTTACTTGGTTTTCTATATTTAACAAAATTTTATTATTTCCTTGTTATCATGTTAATCTTTTGCCCACTTTTAACACTTGGTTTTAGTATACATATGTATTCTTTTAGGCTAATAAACAGGAAAGAGTGATTAGAGTTTTATAAAAATGATATAAAACTTTATTCTTGAATTTAGCAGAAATATTTCTTTTTGGAGGGCAGTAATGTGATATACTTTAGATATTTGTTTATGTAACTTTTCTTCTGGACTAGTTCTGGTAGTCTAATATGAGTATATATTTTGATCATTCTATTTGCAAGTGTAATATGAATATATCATATCTTCTAATTAATTCTTTTATATCTATATTACTTGGCTAGAATCTAGTTTCCGGCTAAAGTTTATTGATCATTATAGCAAAATGTGTTTAATTCCTAAGACTTGAATCTTATTTTGGCTAATTATTTGTGACATTAGTGTTTTTTACAGTATTTTTTAAAAATAGCTTTTATTGTTACACTTCTGATATGCATAACAATCACATTCATCAAAAGGAGTTTGTACTTGTACATCATATATCTTGATTCTTCTTTTCTTCTTCCCCCTTCCCTTGTTTCAGTCCCTCTTATCCTTAATTATAAAAACTTTATTTCCATTTTTTCTTATTCTCTTTTTTTTCCTTTTCCTTCTCTTCCCCATTCTCCACCCTGTTCCCTTTCCCATTTGAACAATTTCTTCCTATTTCCCAATAGCTATCTAAATGTTATTTTTTAGGATTTAAATTTTATCAACTTATCTTAAAAGGTGCAATATTCCCTTTAAACATATTTTTATGAATGTTTTTGTTTTTTTTGAAATACAGATTCATACCTTAGTGGACAGTTTGAAGCTTTCTATCACAGATCAGCAACTGCCTATGTTTATTCGAATAATGCAACTTGGAATTGCTCTTTACTTTGGAGAAATAGGTAGTTTTAAAGATGGTGAAACAGAGGACCCTTCCTGTTACAATAAAGATATGTTAGGAAACATTGCAGGTAAGTATAACAGAAACTTAATTTAGAGCTATTATTCTTGCAAAGTGTTTTCACCACTGAGAAACTAAGAAACACTTTAGCTTGAGTTATACATGATGAGATGATTTTAGTTTGGTTGTTTAGCACTACTTTGATTTTTTTTTTTTTTTTTGGACATGGAATGCTGTGTTTGATTTTCTTTACTGAAAACGGCTAATATTTCTCATAGGTATGAATGTTCAGAATGTATATTTACTTAGTGTTAAAATGATACATCCTCAATATTTCCTAATAAATGAAAATATTGGTAGTTTTTCTGCAAAGGCTAACCAAGAGTCTATATCTGTAGCTAATTGGTTTGAAAATACTATTGATTAATGAAATATACAGTTCAGTGAAGGATATCCAATGGGTTTTTTCAGTTATTCATTTCATTACAACTTTACTAAAGTCTGCTGTATAAGAGTCATAATAGGAATGTGGGAAAAATACTGAGATAGATGAGATATGTTCTCCTCCCTTAGAATCTCCAGTATTCTAAGTGGATAGATGTATGAACAGTCACATGCAAATTATGATATCATGACTGGTAGAATGGTTGATAAACAGAGTTGTGAATAATCTGAGATAAAAAGGTGGTGAAAGGAATAATTGATTGATTCTGTGACTCAGGAAAATTAAGATACTAATTTCTATAGAGCCATAAGAAAAGAACATTTAAAACTGGGTGTGGTGGCACATGCCTGTGAGACAGGAAGATTGCCTTGAGTTTGAGGACAGCCAGGGAGTTCAGGCAGGTCTGGACTATATAACAAGGCCATGTCTCAAAAAAAGAAACAATTTTTTTGAAACTTTAGGGACAAATAATCCATATAAAAATTCAGAAATAAACATTTCTCCTAAGAAGATAAATAATGGCCAAGAATCACATGAAAAGATACTCAACATTACTAGCCACTTTTATTAAAATGTTGTGTTAGAATGCAGATCAAAGCCACAGTGAAATAATACTTGATAGCCAGTAGGATGACTATGGTTACAAAAAAAAAAAAATCTATCTATCTATCTATCTTGCTTGTGAAAATGTAGAATGGTAAATTCATTTTAGAAAATAGTCTGACAGTTTTTCAAAACATGTTCAGCCTAGAGTCACCCTGTGACCCAGCAATTCCACTTTTATATAACTATCAAGAGACTTAACATATATAGACATAAAAACATGTACATGAATGTTCCTGGTAGCATTATTCTTAAAGCCCCCAAAACAACCAAGGGAAGCAACCAAGTAGCTATGAACTGAAGGATAAATTAAGATACATCTGTACTTTGTAATATTATTCAGTGATGCAAAGGAATAAAACATTTATACATGCTATATAAAACAGTGGTGACGAACTTAATGGCACATTTGCCCCAGTGGGCTGTTGTATCATTTCAAGCTCTAAAAGGTTTGCCATCACAGCTATAATATGAGTGAACTCTGAGAACACAATCTTAATTCAAATCTCCCAGTCAAAAGGAGCACAGATGGTATGATTCTATTATATGACCTGTCCAGAGAGGCATTTCTATAGAGGAAAAAGTAGATTAGTGAGTGGTGGAGGGAATGACTGAAAATGGGTAAAATTCTTCTGGCTGTGATGAAAATGTTCTGAAGTTGGATAATGGTGGTGGGTATTCAACTTTGTTACTCTACTAGAAACCAGTGAATTGTATCTTTTAATATTTTTGGGTGTTTGAGACAAGGTCTCACTGTGTAGTTCAGGCTGGCCTTGAACTCACTATGTAGTCCAAGATGGCCTTGAACTAGCGAGAGTCTTCCTGCTTTAGCCTCTTGAGTGCTGGAATTACAGGTGTGCACTACCGCATGCAGATGTACTCTTTTAAAGAGTGAATTATGTGGTATTTAAATTTTATCTGATGAAAAATCTTGTTACCTTAGGAAAGAAGCATAGAGAACAATACTATTAAATTACTTGAAACAAGTATATCTGTATTTCATATTATATGTCTTTTATTTCATACTAGACATTGAATTCCTGTTAGACAAGGAACTTCTGAGACAGAAACAATGTTAAACATGTAGAACAAAACTTAGCATATAGAAGGTGCTCCATTCATTTTTTCCAACGTGACAAATCTCTAGTATAGAGAAACACTAAAAGAATTATTTTTTAAAAATTAATTTTATTGGTAAATGTTAGATATACATAATGATTACATTCATCATATGAAATTTGTACAGGTACATAATTTATATTGATTCTTTTTACACCATCCTCTATCCTCCCTTCAACCCTTTTTCCCCTCCTTTACACAGTTTTCCATTATTTTCTTCTATTCTTTTTTTCTTTTCCCTTCCTTTCCTGCTTCTCCCTCCCTAGTTTTCCTTGAACATTTTCTGTTTCCCAATATTTTAATACATTTTGGTTCTTATTTACCTTCTAGTTCTCTGCCTCACACCGGAGAAACAATGTAATATTGAAATGTGTGTGTCTGATTTATTTCACTTAAGAGTATGGTCTCAAGGTGCATCTGTTTACCTAGAAATGTCTCGAGTTTATCCTTCTTTATGACAAAGTAGTATTCCATTGCATAAAAAAACATCTTGTCCATTCATTGGTGATTGGCATTTGGACTGTTTCCAGGATTTAGCTGTTACTAACTGTGATGCTGTAAAAATGGGTATACATCTATTGCTGTGGTATGATGCTTTTAATTCTTTTGGGAAGATACCAAGAAGAGGAATAGCTGGGTCAAATAAAACCTCTACTCTTAGTCTTTTGAGGAATCTCCACGTTGATTTTTCAGTTATTGCACCAGTCTACACTTCTACCAACAGTAGACAAGGGTTCCTTTTCCCTCACAGCCTCTCCAGCATTTGTTATTCATTGATTTCTTTATAATAGCTATTCTTCCATGGGGTGAGATGGAATCTCATTGTTGTTTTAATTTGCATTTCTCAAATGAGCAGTGTGATATTGAACATTTTTTTCATATATTTATTTGCCATTTGTACTTCTTCATTTGAGAACTCCTATTCATTTCAGATGCCAATTTTTAGATTGAGTCTTTAAACTTGGGAGGTCTGAATTTTTTCATGTTTGTATATATTCTATCTATTAGTCCTTTGAGGAAAAGCTGGCAAAAATTTTTTTCTCATACTTATGGGTTGTCTCTTCACTCTGTTAGTGGTTTCTTTGGTGGGCAGAACTTTTTAATAAGATGAGATTTCACTTGTTGGTTTGTGCTATTACCTGTGTGATGGCTGTGCTGTTCACAAAGTCTTTGCCCACACCTATGTCTTCAAGAGTTCTACCTATTTTCTCTTCCAGCAGACATAGTGTTTCTGTTTTAATACTTAGATCTTTGATCTAATATTTTTATTTTAGTTTAATGCATGGTTAGAGATATTGGTCTAGGTTTAATGTTTGGCATGTGGAAAGCCTATTTTTCCAGCACCATTTATTAAAGAGGCTATTAAAAGTATTATTTTAGAGTGGACAGTTCCATACTTACCAAATAGGATCTACCGTAAATTTCTGTTAACATTTGTTAAATCATGTATCTGTCTATCTAGTATCTTTCCATGTTTAAATGCAACCAATGTTTTCATTGTCTTCCATAGTAAATTATAAGCATTAGTATACGTTTCACCTCGATTCCAGCTGCATATCCTTAACTGAGTTTATTAATGGGTCTTTTAATTTTCTGGAGGTTGAATTCATAAAGTAAAATTTATAAATCTTTAAGTCTTCAGAATATCATTTACTTAATTTTAAAAATGCATATAATCACCTAGTGTAAAAATACTCACTGAAAGCAAAGGAGTGCTTCCAAATTCATTTCTGGAATCTAGCTAGCATCACCTTGACCCTAAAACCTAATGAAGGCCCAACTAAAAAAATACAACCAAACAAGAAAACAAGAACAAAACTAAAGGCTAATCTTCTTAATGAACATAAATGCAAAAATCCTCAGGATATGGCAAATATAATACAACAAGACAGGAAAAGGATTGTGTATCATAACCCATAAGTTTCATCCCAGAATTGCAAGGATCATTCGACATATAATTCACCACGTAAGTAGAAGCAAGGACAAAAACCACATGATCATATCAATAGGTGCAGAAAAAGCTTTTGACAGACTCCAGCACTCATTAATGATTAAAATCCCTGAAGAAAATAGTTGTAAAAGGACCTTACCTCAATCTGATAGGAGTCATTTATGAAAAACCAATGGCCAAAATCATTAAATGGGGAAAACCTGAAAACTTTCATTCTAAAATCAGGAACAAGAAAAGGATGCCTACTCTCACCAATTCTGTACAAAGTGGTACTTAAGACAGTAGCCAGACCGATCAGTAAAGTAAAAGGGATACATATAAGAAAGGAAGAAGTTAAATTATTATTTTCAGATGACATGATCCTCTATATAGAAGTCCCAAAAAATTACACCAGAGACTCCTAGAATTAATAACAAAATTCAGTACTGCAGCTCGATACAAAATCAACACACAAAATCAATAGCTTTCCTCTACAACAGTTATGAACTCACTGAGAAATAAATTAGGAAAGTAATACCATTCAGAATGCCATCAATAAAAATTAAATACCTAGGAAATAATTGTTTAGTGAAAGATGTCTACAATGAAAGCTACAGTATTCTGAAAAAAAAGATTGAAAATGACATCAGAAAATGGAAAGATGTCCCCTGTTTTTGTATAGGCAGAGCCAATATTGTCAGAATGGTCATACTTCCAAAACTGTATTTAATGCAATCCCAGTCAAAAATACCAATGGTGTTTCTCACATCTGGAGAAAACAATTGTAAAATTCATTTGGAAACAGAAGAGACCCAAAATAACAAAAGAAATCTGGGCAACAAGGCCTAAGCAAGAGGCCTCACAATACCAGATTTCAAGTTATACTACAGAGATAATAGTGATAAAAACAGCATAATATTGGCACAAAAACAGACATGTAGATCAATGAAACAGAATAGAGGGTATAGAAACAATCTCAGATGCATTTAGCTATTTGATCTTTGACAATGTGGCCAAAAACATACTTCAGGAAAGATAGCCTCTTTAGAAAATGATACTGAGAAAACTGGCTATCCATCTGCAGAAGAATGAAGGTGAACCCATATCTCTCACCATGTACTAACTAAAAGTGATGAAATATATAAATATTAAAACAAACAGTCTATTGAAAGAATAGGTGAAACTTTTAATAAGTGTAGGCAAGGACTTTCTGAGGAGAACTCTAATTGCACAAGAAATAATGGCATGAATCAAATGGGACTATATAAAATTAAAAAGCTTCACAGCCAGGCAGCAGTGGAGTGGAGTCTACACAATGAGAAAAAAATTTTGCCAGCTCTTAAGACAGAGGCCTAATATCTAGAATATATAAGTAACTTAAAAATATTAGATCACCCAAAATAAAAACTCAGTCAAAAAATGGTCACATGAAATAAACACTTCTCAGAAGAAGTACAGATACTGTAATTGTGTGAAAAAATATTCAACATCTCTGACCACGAGAGAATTGCACATTAAAACAATACTAAGATTTCATCTTATACCAAAAAGAATGGCAATCATGAAGAAATCAAATTACTATTACTGTAGTAATAACAAAAGGTGTGGGTGCTATAAAACAGAATCCCTTCCACATTGTTGTGGGAATGCAAAGGAGCACAACTATTGTGGAAATCAGTGTGGAAAGTCTCAAAAACTAGATAGAAATTCCTTTTGATGTAGCTATCTCCCATCCTTTCTAGATATCTTCCCAGAAGTGCTAAAAACATATTACAGCAATACATGCATACCGATGATTATAACAGCACAGTTCACAATAGCTAAATCTTGGAAGCAGACTGTGTGTCCATCATCAGATGAATGGATAAAGACTGTATCTATATACAATGAAGTACTACTTGGCCATAAAGAAGGATACGTTTGAGACATCTTTAGGAAAATGGATACACTTTGAAAATAATGTTAAGAAGAATAAATCAGACACATAAGATTGAATACTGTATGTTTTCTCATTTGAGTAAAGTACAAATAAAAAGTAAAATAAAAATAGATAAGAGGAAAGCAGACACATCTTTTGCAGATAGGAAGGGCACCAAGAGACCAAGGGTAGGGGAGAGGGAGCAGGCGAAGGGGATGTAAAAAGATTCAAGCTGCCACATATACATGTGCAAGCTGCCCACAGTGAACGTAGTCATGTCATAAACATGAACTAAAAAAGAAAAAAGGAAAATAGGAAAGGGGATCTAGAGACAGAGAGGTGGGCTGTTTTTAATTTTTGTTTATGATAATGTTTTCATGGACATTTTTGTACAAGTTTCATATAGACATAAGGTGTTCCTCTCTCAGGTAAATACCTAGGAATAGAATGATATATTTAATTTTTAAAGAAACCATTTGTGTTAGCTTTCCTTTGCTATGACACGTACCTGAGACAACTTATAAACTGAAAAAGCCTGTCTTTGATGGTCCAAAGACCTCCCCATTTGGTCCCACCCCTTAAAAGGTTCATCAGCCTCCGAATAATGTCCCACATGCGAGTGAGTGTTAGTGATGATGATGACTGTAGCACCACCTGACCCTTTTCCCAAAATAATTGTACCATTTCATATTCCCATCAACAATGAATGAGAATTCCAGTCACTCTATATTTGTTGGTATAAGCATATTTTTACTTTTCATCTTCCTGGTGTTTGGTGGTACTTCATGGTTTTAGTTTGCATATTTTTTGTTGAGTTAATAGTTTTAACTTTTTCTCATGGTTGTTGGTCTTTTTAAACTTTGAGAAATACATATTAAATTTTTACATGTTACATTATTGATATGTAAGAGTTTTTATATACACTGAATTTAATCATTTGTCATAAATGTTTTAGTAATGTGTTTTGCCAAGCTGTGATTTGTTTTACTTTTTGGTGCTGGGGATTGAACTCGGGTTCTTGCACTTGTGAGGCAGGTAGTGGAACCACTGAGTTAAATCCCCAGTCCCTCTT